TGTAGTAGAACCACCGTCCAGTATGTGTTCAACATGTAAATCGTCCATAATCAAGGTAGAAGCTTCACGGTCACCAGTAGAGCAAATTGCATCCGCAAGAGCAGCTTTTTGAGGGAGTCTAAGAAGTCCAAAGTTTCCAAAGAGTGCGGCTGGGAAAATAGAAAGTTCAAAATCAAAAAGTGTAGGTACATCATCCTCGGACGATCTTGTAACGAGTCTCTGAAATAACAACCAGGTATCAACCTGAGTGAGCTCACTTTCGAGGGTTTTAGAAGGCTTCAGGTTCATCACTACAACTTGTTCCGACTTCTTAAAAGAATACTGAACAACCGAATGACCGACCATGATTTTGATGATGTTTTCACCAACTTCTTTTGCCTCATCTACATTCACGGCAGATTCGGCTTCAATACCTGTCTCAATGTTTCTAAGAAAACATGTTTCATCAGTGGAAAAGGGTTGCCTTTCTAAAAGATAATTCAAAACTACTTTGGCATCATGAACATCCCTTGCAACCCTTGTGTCACTACATTCTTTATGTTGGTCACTTGTGTGATAAGAAATACCCACAATTCCTGAAGCACTGCACTGATTTGCAGAGACAACAACCACTGCAATCGTTGACTTAATGACATACCCTTTCCCCTAGTTAACCAACCATTAGTATTGACAGTCCTCATCAAAACCTGCTCTATTACAAGATAACTTGACAGTCCTACCAAAACCGCTCACTTCGACAAACTACATGATGCCCAGTCCTAAACATATTGAATACATGTAGGTTGGTTTTCTCAAGCTGGTGTATAATTTGGAGATATACATAAGCCGATTTCAGATACAAACTATGGCCTGCAGCCGCAAAATACGGCAGTATACGTCTCAAAGTATGAAGATGTAAAAACCAGTCACCTGTTCGCTCAACCGCAAGAAACAATGGCATGAGCTCCACCATCTCCAGCACCATCTTCTGTGGGATTTCAACTTTTCTTTCCCCATCAAACACACCTTTTTGACATTATCCAAAAGACTGATTTTCTAAGGCAGAAACTTCTACTTTGGCTGACACGATATCATCAAACAAATAACCCATTTTAACAACGATACAGCGCGAGTTTTCATGCTCTGCGGGAGTTGGATCTTGACTAGGGCTATCTTCAGAGTCTGAATGTGTTAACTCCTCCACTATCGGTATATTAAACAGAGTTTTGGCAAGAATGGTAGACAGAGCCCTCTCGACCAACAAATGGCCTCTTATTGCTCTGGCTACCGATTTCCCACTCATCATATGGACAACAGAATTTGGGGCGTAAATAGATTCTAATGTCTCTACTTATCCTGAACCAATCATCAAATGGCCTATAGACCCCATAAAATTCCTAAGCGTATGAAAGCCTCCAAGGCATACAACGAAGACTACTCGACTCTGGCTCGTTTAGTACAATGTTCATCGCCTTCCAATGAATTCACCTGAAGTTGACTTTTCACTTCATGAAATGGTTAAATCAGACACACACAGTTACACCATTTGTTCGTCCTTCTCGAAATTGCAGTTAAAATATGAAACATTTCTAAATTTATATACTGATGGTTTAAAAGATAATGATAAGGTTGCTGCGACCATGGTTACACAAGATGAAACCTATGGATGCCGGCTACCGAACAACGCCTCAATATTCTCCGCAGAAGCGCGAGCTATCTACCTCGCTCTTGTCTGTTATCCATTCAGACTCTCTTTCTGTTCTACAAAGTCTTAGCAATAGAAATATCGAAAATATTTTCACTCGTAATACCTTAATACTATATCGTGAACTTGCTTTTAACTTTCGTATTGCTTTTTGCCGGGTTCCTGGGCACATTGGAATACCAGGCAATGGAAAAGCAGATCGTGCCGCAAATGAAACTTTATCGCCTCCACCTGTTTTTTCAAACTTCATTTTATCGATTTTAAACCATTTATTAAACAAATTTCAAAAGCTCAGTGGCAGGAGGAATGGAATACCTATACCAATAACAAATTGCACTCCGTTAAACCTGTTATCGGTGAATGGTATCCAGGCTAATGAGACAACCACCGAGACGAAGTTGTCCTTGCCCGTCTTCGGATGGGTCATACATACCTTACACATTCATATATGTTGAAAGGCGAAGATAATCCTTGGTGCATAGGATGTGATGAGCCATTTACCATTAAACATTTTTAATTGGACTGCATTGACCTTCTGTCTTCTGGAGAACTTTTTATCGTAACATTATGTGGCAGAGACGATATTTCGTGTTAGTCCGTGTTACTTCGTACTTATTATATTTGTTCATATACCTAATCATGTCCGATGAACTTTCTCACAATGAAATCACCAAGATGGTTGACTTGATGAAGAAGATAAAAGTGAAACAGAAGTTAGAGTCGGAGCAAGATTTTCTTCAATGGATGGCAGGAACGGTTTGTAATTATGAAGTGGCAATTAAGCCCGATACCAAGGAGATGGATCAGGATAAAAAGGGGAAAGACGTAGCGGTGTCTATGCTTCAGCACTTCCCAAAGGTATCACAATTTTCAGGAGACAGAAAAGGAGTATCCTACGATATTTGGAAGCAAAAAAGGAGACAGAAAAGCAGTATCCTACGATATTTGGAAGCAAGACGTTTTGTGTCTGAAGACTGAAGGCCACAACCAATCTACCATACGCCAAGCTATTAGGACTTCTTTGAAGGGTTCAGGTTTGTGGATAGGGATGAAGAGATCGAGAGATATGGAGAAACAAGGGAAGATTAGCGGTGGTGAAGCTGGCAGGACATCAACCGATGACGATTAGGCCAAACACTGAAGTGATTGTAGCTGGATTCTTGGACAAGGAGTTAACATACCAACCAGTTTGTGCTTTAATGATGCCAACGTCCAAATCATCCATACCAGAGGACTTGAACATTACGCCCAAAGTCGTACCTTATAAATACAAGGATACAGGAATGCTTTCAGTTGGGATTTCAAACCTGTCAACCCGTACTGTTACCATTCAGCCTCGTTCTGTACTTTGTGAGCTACAGCCAGTATCTATTGAGGATGTTGAGCAGCTACAAGCACCTGAGAAGTCAGAAGATGTTCTACAAAAGGTGGAATTGTATAGGGCAAATACAGATAGGAAAGGATTTACATGAGAAACATAGACCTATTTTCTCTACCGGCGACACCGATTTCGGGCACTACAATGACGTTACTCACAGCATAGATTTATCCATAGATGTTCCATTCAAGCAGAGCTACAGACGGATCCTCCCAACCCCTTTGATTACTTACAGATGAAGGGAACAGTTTTACATCGAGTGACCAACACTGAAGAGGGCATGAAAGATCAAGTAGTTATTCCTAGCAGCTGTAGATTGTCAGTTCTCAAGATGTTGCATGACGATATGGGTAGGGCCGAGATAAGACGTTAACCTTGACTAGAGATAGATTTTACTGGCCAGGAATGGTCAGGGATGCGGAGGATTATGTCAGGAGATGTGATCGTTGTATTAAGAGGAAGGCTACGGACAACAGAGCTCCATTTGTGCCTATCGTTTCCCATGAACCTCTTGAAATCGTCTGTATGGATTATTTGAGTTTGGAGAAATATGAGAATGTTCTCGTGATCACCGACCACTTCACCCATTATGCCTTGGCAGTACCAACTAGAAATCAAACAGCAAGTACTACAGCGGATGCATTCTACCATCATTTTATCAACCATTACTGCATTCCCAAACAGATCCACTCAAACCAGGTGAGAAATTTTGAAAGTACTTTTATCAAAGAACTATGTAACATCACTGGGATGAAGAAGAGTCATATCACACCATATCATCCATTGGGTAACGGAGCTTGCCAAAGATTCAACAGGACGTTATTTGGAACGCTTGGAACTCTAGAGGATGAGCAGAAGAAATATATATAAGTTTGGTTAGTCACATGGTAACGGGGATCTTTCATATCGAGCCCCAAACATACTTTCGACATATGCACTCCGTTGCCGCATGAAAAACTATTTCAAGTTTTGTCGGAATTTCTTTACCTGTGGTTGTAATGGTCGATGGTTTTCCAGCGTCCTGTAATACCCAAGGTAGTACAAAATACTGGAGATGTGCGCACACATTCCCATCGTTCTCTCTCCAACTGGGCACTGGCAGTAGTAGTCCTTTATTGGGGCCTCAACATCGGGTGAAACGGTAAACCGTATCCAAACGTTATATTTCGTTTGGCTTTGGTGTCGAGAATGTATTTGACATCGGAGAAGGTCTGGGGAGTGCTGGTAAAGCCACACCTCATAGTCTCCGTCATCACATAAATGTTCGGAGATGTAACCAGGAGCCAGAGATATCTGATACGTTCCACACGTAATGGTTCTCAAGTAATCAAGATCGAGACGGGGAAACAGTACGGAAGATGCATCCATCTTGACAAACTCGGACCTTGCCCGTCTAGATAGATCCGGATCTATCTTGACTCTCTGAGCTAAACCATTCGGTGTTGTCAAACGGTCCTTCATACGTTCAGCCATTAGCCTATCTTTGGCATCTCTCTCTGGATATCTCTGGTAGATCGGTCCTCTAATACCATTCAGACAGGCTGTGACGGTTCGAAGCAAAGCCTCAATGACATTGATAAAGCTGTTAGACACCAATTGCGTTCGGAAGAACGTCCAGTGTTTCAGACGACCATGATAGGATTCCACAATCCACCTCGATTTGGTGATAGTTCTGTCAAGATTTGCTTGATGGTCAGAATGTTGACTTTGACCGGGTTTCAGGTATGACGGCATGCTAGCATTGAGGCAAGAGGCTTCGAGAACTGGTAGGCCATCTCTAAAACCTCGGTCAACGACAACGTTGTCGTCTGGTTGTAGCCAAGTAACTCGCTTGTCCATGACTTTTTTTGTAATTGTAGCATCATTTTCGCTGCCAGTGAATGTTCCTACGGTGTCCAGAATGTAGCCATCTGGTAAGGCCATGCTCATGAATTTGACATGGTTTCTCTTCGTCTGGCCACAGTAGGACATTCTCTGGAGCTTGTGGTCGGAGCTTTTCTGGATATAAATATAGGTGCCATCTAATATGGCAGTGGCTTTATCTCCAAAAAATGCTTCTGAAAAGACAGTATTGTGCCCGAGCAATTGTTCTCTTGTCAAGTGATCCGGACCTAGAAATTGTGGGACTATCGATGTGTCTAATGCCTGTACTATGGAGTGGAAAGTTTTGGACACACTTGACTTGGAAATTCCAAAAAGATAAGAACGCCTGACTGCAGGAAATGTCGGTTTTCAGTTTTACCCAGAACAGTAATAGAGCATCGTGTGTAGTCTTGGTATATATACCAGATGAAAGATATGGGGAACAGTGCGAGTGGATTTCGAGGAACTGATCTTTGGACCAACCTGTCCAGGCCATGCATGCCGAGTCATCAAGAGAAGAAAAGCTTATTGTAAATGCAGACTGGTTCTGTGAAAGGACGTGCGACACCTCTAGGAGGTCATTAATGATTTCGGACGATTTTGATGGTAACTGAGATTCCAAGGAACCTCTACCATCAAGGACAACCTCTGTAGACGGATCTGTCGTTACCAATAAGGTGAATGGAGCAGTTTGTGTGAATAGATCAGGTGATGTCTTGCACGTTTTGGTAAGACTGATGATTTTGTTCCATTTTTTGGAAAGGTAACAAGTCAGAGACAGCATTTTTTGTGTGAAGATGATCCATTCAAAAGATCATGAAGGGTCAGCAACGGCAGGATATGGGACGGGGAGTCGTCTTCTTCCTCTATTTCCTGGTTCTGCTCGGGTTCAGGTTCAGGCTGATTTTTGTTCCGAAGATACTTCATGTAGCACTTCTGGCAAATAAATGCTTGTTCCTTTGCTGACATCAATACTTGTTGCACCAGCGTATCTAGGAGCCATTTATATTGTGGACTATTTACATTGCGTACACTTCTGTTCTTATTGCCACTACGTTTCTTTAAGTATACTTGACACTCTTATCCAACACCTTTACCCTCCATCTTGAAACAATAACGATTGGTTTATGAAGCGTCGATAAAGTAACAAAATAGCAAGCCACCGATGATTGCTGTAAACAGCTAATACTTAGTAGTTTGGTACAATTATGCGAAAATGTGTGATAAATAACGAACAACTAATTACACAAAATAACAATATAATAAATCACATTCAATACCTCCAAGAAGCGCAGAATTGATTGATTACTTAGAACAAAATAAAGTATTTCATATGGATAATCTATCTATTCGATGTGGCGTGGTCGGCAGGCACAAAGAAAGTGAGACAAGTCAGGGTCTCAACCCTGACAGAGCCACAACGCTTTGGAGATGGGACAATAAAACAAGGAAATTGAGACAAGAGTAGCTAGCGTCGAGTGAATGATTTCGTAAACGTATAGACAAAGACAAGAAGATACGGATAAATGTACAAGGCCACACGATCAGAAAATTCAGAAGAGGACAATACAACAGTATTCATGTATCAGGGTGTCCTCAGTGTAAATCTTTATATCGATACTATTTATTTAGTCGTTACACATCATAAAACTGCCATGAAAATATCCGCTCTGATATTCAATATAAAAGTTTATATAATAAGCTATATAATAGGGTTTCAGACAAGGTTGTTACTCATTTCCCCTTTTCTTTCAATTTACCACATTCTGGCGGCGATATGAGAACGTTCCACCACATGGAATTACACATATGAAACAAGTAAAGCTCTATCCGATTTTCTGATGGAAATTTGCATCCAAAACTATATAACGGGAGAAAATTGCAAATTTATGGCATTTTTCTTCATAATTGTGTCTCTGCAAGTGCATTTTCATCCGAGAATATTTTCTTTATGTTTTATGAATAAACACGATGTTTTGGAAATATTTATCAAAGTCTTTGATGCTGAAATTGACAACTTTATAAAAATACATTTTCACTGAAATTATGAAATCTGGGTGTCGCAAAGGTGTAAAATTATTTTTCGGAAAAGAAAAAAAACAGTAGTTGAGCTAGATAAGAAATTATACGGGGGCAGGCTCCTATGGAGAATAACATTACTGGAAACAGGCCCTTTACTACTTCCCATATAATAGTTTCGGAGGATAACGACACTTCCGCTCCCAACAGGCCTATTCCGGCTCCACGATCATCCCTGACTCGGAGGACGACTGTACCATCGTCTCACAGAAACGAGGATGATGATGAAGATGACGATTCAGCTATATTGGTCTCGTACCCGACCGATGGTATTATAGCTGACGACGAAATAGCAGAGATGGATGGCCCGGGCGACATCGAGGAGGTCTCTGATGATGACATAGAGGTGGGGGACGCGCCAGAGATGTCAGAACTGCAGTTCTATGAACCGGAAGTAGAGAGATCGGAACAGGAAGTTGTCGAGGCAGAACAGGAAGTGATAGGACCGCGAGAACCACAACCGGAGGTACAGGAGGAAAGGAACGATGACGAAAGGGAAAGACAACAACCGCAAATGGAGAAAAGAAACGACAGACCGACATGAAACCGGAAAACAGAGAGCTGGATGACCATCGGTGATTATGTGTTGTGTCAGCAACACATAGATCCTGCCTGGATGGTAAGAGCTAATTATATGCAGGATTTATTTCAGCAGGTACCAGACTGTATGACTGAAATTTGCTCGGCAGTTTGTCATATTGTCACTACGTAGATATGTCATTTGTATCGTTTCATTTATTTTCACATGCGCAGATTATTTTGATATATTTGCTTTTCTTGTAACTTTGTTTTCAGGCTCACGGTGTTACATTTTATTTTTATTTTCAGATAATTTTAATCGAGGACGATATTTCCTCAGGATGGGGGAGAATGTGGCAGAGACGATATTTCGTTATTTGATCTTTTTATTATTTCAGTTCATGTATACATTATAGCGTCCGTCTATTAATTGAAATATGTATTTTCCTTTAGTTTTGCCTTGATATATGTTTAGAGTATTTCTATTTATTCGCTTGGTTGGTTTATAGCAATCCTGCTGGTACCTCTTTCTTTAGCCAATGGTCAGTGTTTTCTTTGTTTGTATTGTGTTTTTGGTCATTTCGGCGCGTTATTTGGCACTCTGACTTTAGACACTTGACTGACAAGATGAAATTTTGAAAGGTAAGACATTTACTAACTTTCACTAAATTATTTGTCCAATTACTAATTCATTTGCTTCCTTTGGCCTTACATTCGATTTGTGTAATCGCGATCAGATCTATATATGTACTGATAACGCTATATGGTTTTTAATTGAATTGTATTCGTTTCTTATACAGATTATTAAAAGTTAATATATATCGTCAGCTGTCAATGTGATCCCACTGCCCTGTTCCACAAATAGCTAAACCCATATAATTGATATTTATTGTATTTATTTCATTTTAACCATCTATTCATATAACTAGAATATATGAAACTGTAAATCAAGTTCCTAAAGTAATTGTGATTTAGTAGTTGTATATGTACAGGTATAAGCGAATGGCTTGTTATCTTTATATTGTGCTGTATATGTGCGATATTGAATGTACGGTAAGGTCATTGCTAATTGTTATTTCATATTGTTACAGGTAAAAGTAACGTCTATAATAAATCGGAGAACCCTTTTGAACTGTGTTTGTTGGTGTGTATACAACAAAAAAGCAACACTACTACATGTCTAAAATTCCTTTGAAACTGTTGAGATGTGTAAAATTCTACATTACCTGAAAGTGGTTGGTCTATATAAAAGACTATAACGTACCATTTTAATTTTTTGTGTTAACATACCCATTTAAGATTTTTAACATTTGTCTTTTAACTTTTGGTTTGGTTAATGCTATTTCCTTTCGGATCGCTGTGTGTTTTACCGTTTGATGGCCCTAATGACCTTTTTTGTGTTGACGGGCCATTAAGAATGTAATAATAATTATACCGGACCTCCACCATGGCAAGCTAGTAAGACAGTCATAGAAATAACAACTAGATCACAAGATGTGAATTGAATATGGCCGTTTATTATAGTAAACGACATTTGTTATTTAGTTCAAAGTTTATCATTTAAATCTACCGAACAAGTCTTAGATGAGGCTCATAATCTGCCACCACATCATACATAAATATACCCAATCATATAAGGAAAATTTGACAGCATACATAAACATAAGACAGTATAGTTCAAGTGAAGAAAAACTAACATCGTACAAAATTATCAGATATGAACGTTAAAAAAGGAAAATTTAACAGCATATAACAAGTACATGACATAACTGGATGCTATACTCCAGGGTAGGAATATTAACATCAATTGTGAATTATTGGATGGTACAAGTTCAGTAACCCAGAGACGTATATACATCTCTGAGTAACCTAATCAACAATGCAAGCTTAGGTAATGACTGTATGAAATTACAAAAACTTAACAGAGTGGATATGACGAGTCATGTACATCAGCATAAAAACGCTTGGAACAATTTTATGAAGGATACTTCCTATACATATTTGATGTAAAATTGAAACTAATGAAAAGATCTCATCAACCAAGTCTGGAACAAATTAAACAGGCCTTGAAAGAACAATAAACAAGAGATAAAAACTCAAAAAAGGAACGGAGGAAAGTAGGGGATGGTGGTGGGCTAAAAATGTATGATTTTTTATTTAGTTTTCCGATGATATAAATAGACTAATATAAATCAAATAAACTGGCCTTGACCGTGCGAACCTTGTTCCGCCATATTCTGCTGTCAGCTTCTGAATAGAAAATGCTGCGTCATTTATATTTATAGCGATCTAAAAATATCCACCGAATTAGTGCGCCCGTGCGACAGTTGGACCACCATGCTCCAACCCCAAATTACCTCCTTCCGCTAATAATTGAATCCTTACATATAAAAACAATCAGCCTGTATAAATAACATAAAAACTTGTTTTAATTTGCATTAATAACACTGCACTAGAAATCTATCCTCTAAAGACCAAGTGACAGTTTAGTTTGTATTATAAAAAATTAACAATTATTAAATAATCAGTATTACTGATAACATGTTATCGTCATTCCACTTTTCTTCGTTTAGCATTAAATATAACAATAATGGATATAAATTAGTTAGATACTCTAATTAATAAATGAAGCCAGAAATGATAACCTTGTCTGACACTTGAATGTGCAAGTATGTTAATTTCCTGAAACATAGAAATGTATTACTAAGCGAAAATGGTATGAATACTTTACAGTATCTATTGACAATTACATAGACAAAGTTACACTTATGTCAGACATTCTGTATTAAATTCAAATACTGCAAATCTCCCATCAACTTTACTAATAATCATGTCAGACGTGTGCATAGGTCATGGTTGAAAAACCAGGTTGAAAGATTTATCTCACGGAGCCAGACCTCAAGTAAGATATGTATGTTTACCCAGTATAACTGGCTGGACCAGCTGCTGACTGCTGAGATCATAAGCATAACGGAAGAAAACATATTATGAAGAAAGTGCTACAAATGGTACCTCAAGCAAATGCCATTGCAGTCTGAATTGATTTACCTTCTGGTAAGAGCACTCGAGATGACCTGGCGAATGATGCAGATGATGCTTACACTGATTTCATGTCATCCAACTAATACCACTAGTCTCATTTTTCGAAATTATTTTATGGTGGCAATTCACATAAAAGATGTATCATATGTGGAAAAGAGGGCACTGAGCTATGCACTATACCCCAACCAGCGTGCCATGACAAACTTGATATTTTAACATTTTCTATGGTGTCGCCCTGTTGTTCGTGTTTGCATTGACCATGTAATTGGTGATTTCTGAATCCTTCCTTGCCACTAGATCTGCAAACAAGGGAACTGTTTGCTCTTCATCTTCAAGAAAGAGCTAATAAGGTTATCAATTGCCTTCTTGAACTAATCCATTTCCTTTCTGCTGGTACTCCAACCAACACAGGCATATATGTAGACCATCACGGAAATGAAGATTTCAAAGCATGGACTGGTTACAAACATAAACAAATGCAGTGAATCCATAGCATTTACTCCTCACATCAATAGAGGTTCATGTTCCATGCTTTTTCTAGGTTAAACTGAAGACCAATATGTCATTGTTTCAATATGGTGTCTTGTGTGGCTGACAAAAAAAAAACCAGTATGTGTCTCACACATTTCATATCTTAAAAGCCTGGAATCATTGTGCCCCGTTTCCTTGGTCCGAGACACATTACCCGCGAGCACGCTAAGTGCAACAACACTACGTTTACAAGATGTTTCTACGGGGACAAAGTAACTGTAATCCTTGATGGTACCTACATTTATGTCCAAAAAGTGCTGATCACCCCCTTCAAAGATCCTCATACTTTGGGCAAAAAAAGCGCAACTATGTTAAATTCATGAGCATCGTCTTTCCAGATGGTTATGTACTAGACACTTTTTGGGCCTTTTTATGGCAATGAAAATTATACAAATATCTTAATATCTTAAAAATTCTTAAAAGACTTGAGAACCTGACCTTGTGGCTCGGTGAAGATGACAGTGTGATTGTTGACCGGGGGTTAAGGGATGTGTTGGAGCTGCTGCGAGGTTCAGGGTTTTCTGTGTACATGCCTTCACATCTTCTGTCAGGTCAGACGCAGCATGATACACTTACTGCCAACGAGGACGCCAGTGTAGTAAGTCAAGATGGGTTGAGGAGAGTTATCATGGTCGACTGAAGGAGTGCAAACTGTTCAGAGAACAACTCGGCTCAAACCACTTCTACTAATTAGTGTCATGGAGAAACTGATTAAAGTAACTACTGCTTCCGTGAATGCTGTACATGGACCAATTTATGTGTGCACACCAGAGAGGGGCTTGAGGGACCGTCGCCTTGCTTTGCGAATGCAATCCTGTTTGGCTCTGTCCAACACCTTGGCCTCAAGGGTTGCAGATGAATGACCTTTCTAGGTGCAACAAGGCCAACTGGGTGAAACTTGATGCTTGTTCAATAGAGTTTCCAGTACTGGATATGGAATATTTAGAAACAGTAACCTGCGGATCATACTAGGTGAAAGTAGCACCCAGATATATTGCTGAGTATCTGACTCCTGCTGGAGACGTTAAGTTTGGGTCTATCAGCATGATGAAAATCTCCTCGGAGGCCAAATCCATTCAAGGGACAAATCACAGTCAATATACAACGTTTGGATTGCGTTTGACAGAAATGATCAAGATGACCCTGTCACAGATTACTACTGGGACTGTCAAGCGGGCAAGCGAATCGTTGGAATGTGTGTACATGTTGCGTGCATTTTGTATCAACACTCAGGTTCAAACGAGCAATCACTTGCGCATTCATTTGTGTAACCTTGAACAGGGGTCAAGGCCAGCAATGCTAACCAAACTGATACAAATTGACATGAACAACCACCATGTCAAATAGCAAGACCTACAGACTTTTTGTTATTAAGCTGTCACTATTTAACGAAAATGAAAAAAAAATCAATGTTTAAAATATGTAAACTGACAAACTTACCGGTTTTCATTT